TCTGCTGAACTGGATGCCCAGCTGTTAATGGCAACGCTGGAAGAGGAAAGCTGAATATTTATAATACTTTATATCGTACAGCTGTCTTCTAAAGAGCAGTCATCAAAATTTTATTGAATGCAGACTAAATGCTCAAAGGAAAGAAAGGTCAACATAAATTAAGACTATTTTTCCCAGAGACAACTGAAACTTTTTAAGTACATTCCTAAATCTTAACAATAGCTTAAAGCATTATATAAAACAATGAGGAAAAAATTTAACATCTTTATAAGAACAGTCCCCAAGAAACATATATATTATACCAAATTAAAAAAGATTTAGGAAATATATCATATTTCAAGAACTTAGTTCACAGCTTTCATCTTGGAAAAGAATGCTTTGACTTGTAAGGAATTAAGATGATCTCATTCCAAACATATCCTTTCAAAATTTATGTTACTATTCCAAAACTGTAAATTAAAGTATTGGAAAAATAGAATGAAAACACATCTTTGAGATATAACTCAGAGAACAGTCTTATATGAATACCGCTTTACAACTATCTCTATTACAAAAAGGGGAAGAGAAGTAGTCTGTCTTAAAAAAGCCAAGTAAACAGGTAACATTTAAATTAAAAAAGCCTGTGAAATTCCTGCCAAAAGGCAGTCAAAGCCGTAACAGTTTGATGGAATTCTTTACAATGTATTTCTTTTTTAAATAGAAATCCATATTGCTTAAGGAATGCAGACTCCATTACATCTTCCACCCCAGTGGCGGCAGAGAAACATTATATTTATTAATACATCTACTCCAAAAGGATGCTCTAGGGGCCAATGCATTTGCATGTTATACTAAGGCACATTGTGATGGAAGTTTTTATGATGGACTTCGAAAGAAGCTGGAAGCCAAAGCAAAGCAGAATCTGGACTCAACATAGCTGTAGGATGGAGATAAATGAGAAACTACACGAAAATCCCACTAAATTATAAACATTTAGAAAATTTCCCAGAGAGAATGTTGTGGACTGGTCAAGACTATGTTCTTTAAAGTCTGTCAAGTACCACGTACAGCAATAGAACTGCAGACAGCCCAAATTTCTCTCTGCTGGCCTGCAAAACCCCTGAGCTATGGCAGTGAAGAGGCAGCTTCATTCCAGGCAAGCACTTCGACCTTGGAAGGAGCTGTATGGATACAATTTTGGCTTCAGGAGGTCAACTTTGTCTTGCTTTTCCCAATCCATCCTACCCAGCAGCCTCGTTTGCTTGTGGGCTTGTGTTTAGTGATTGTCTTTCTGATGCCGTAATGTGAGAAAGTAAATCTCTGGGCAGCTGTGATTCACTCAACATAAGCTAAAATTTGTGCTCTTAGTCTACATGCAGTCCCTGGCTAGGATCACTGACACAAAATTCATCCAGACACCTAAAATGAAGACCCAGTTGGCCAAAGTGTCTTCCTTCAGATCCTTCAAAAGATGAACATGGAGAAAAAATAATATGTGCATCCAGATGCAAAGAAAACTCCTGAAGTATTTTAGGAAACGCCACGGAGGAAGAGCACTAGCTTTAGTTTGGTTTGTCTTTTTTACATGGCTGGAAAAACCTTGCTTTGGCAATGGTGTAGAATTAGAATTAGAAATTAGAATTAGAAATAACCATAGAATCAAATATCAGAGTGCAAACAAGAAAAGGAGACAGAAAGATGAGGCACATGTGGTGACAGTACACAGCAACTTATTTACCCCAGTTTCCTACCCTTGAATTGGTTCAAAATTCCCTGACAAGGCTTCATTTATTTTCTTAACTATGCAGAGTGTGATGGCACATGTTTATAGCCAGCTGTACAACCTGCAAGGATTGTTTTGTCCATAGTATTTATCAGGTTAAAGAGCTAAGTATTACTTCTACAGCACATTGGTCATCTATCATTCCAGGTCATGCTGTCAGTTTCTTGCTAATACTGGGAGAACTTTACTCGAATAGTGCTTTGATGAAACCACTTGTCCTGGTTTTGACTGGGACAGAGTTAGTTTTTGGTTTTAGCAGCTAGAAGGGCTCTGTGTTTTGGATTTAGTTTGGGATTTCTTATGAGAAGAATGTTGATAATGCACTGATGTTTATAGTTGGCACTGAGACATCAAGGACCTTTCATCTTCCCGTGTTACTGCCAGCGTGCAGGAGCACTACAGGCTGGGGAGGAGCATGGCTGAGACAAAGGGTCCACAACTCCCCTTATGATTTGAATTTAGGCTTAGGGTTGAGGGCCAAATTGGCCAATGGAATATTCCATACCATGCAATGTCATTCCAGTACATAAAAGAGGGCTGACCTGGAAGAAGAGCTCTTGCTCTTTCAGGAACTCTCTTCCAAGGGCTGTCTTGGAATGCTCACTCTCTCTTTTTTTTCGTGCCTCTTGCTCATCTGGGATTGCAGTGTCAGGACTTACCTGTTTTGAACTAATTTTCCAGGACGGGACAGGCGCTGGTCAGCGGGTGGTGAGCAATTACACTGTGCACCACTTGTTTGTATATATTATTACCATTATTAATTTTAATCTCATATTATTAAATTGTTCTTCTCTCAACCCAATTCTGTTCGATTCAATTCTCTCCAATTCAATTCTCGAGGCTGGGGAAGGGTGAGCGAGTGGCTCCGTGGCATTTAGCTGTGTGGGGCTGAGTTGCCAGCTGGGCTAAGGCACATCACCACCTCAACTGGCGTAATGGCGAGAGCCTAGGTGTGCAGCTTAACTTTCTACAAAGAAATGGACTGTTCGCACTGTTTGTAATTCCACATACACGTAACTTTCTCCTACCACACAGCCTCGCTGCCTTTTCCATGGGGTCTGCAGAGACAAACTCTCTGCGGGCTGGGGAAGCTGACAACAGACAGATGGCACACGGAAAGCACCGCCCGCGCCAGAGGGCATCGCCCACCCGAGCTCTGCCCCGAGGAACCACGGCTTTCAGTATTCCCGCTCCCACCCAACAGCTGGAAG